TCGCCAACCTGTGCCGCCATGGTGGTCTCTGCATGGATGCAGGCAACACCCACCACTGCCATTGCCAGGCCAGCTACACTGGCAGCTACTGTGAGGACCAGGTGGACGAGTGCTCCCCCAGCCCCTGCCAGAACGGCGCCACCTGCACGGACTACCTGGGTGGCTACTCCTGCGAGGTGGGTGGGTGTCTGTCTGTCACACGATGGACACCTGTCATGTTGCACCTGTCTGGCACAAGGGCGGTGGCACAAGGGAGAGTCAGCCTGCAAACATGGACACGCCATGTGCCCTGTGCTGCCAGGCTGGGACCTGCGGGGTCACTGCCTTCAGAAAGTGGCCAGCCGTGAGGGGTGTGTGCTGGGGAATAGCCTGTGCTTTCCTTCCTCACGTCACAACTGGTCCATACTGCGTTCCCCTCTGTCCCAGGTGGGCAGCGCCGCTCACTTTCCCCGGCCATGTGAGGCACCACTAGGCAGCGGGCAGCACAGTGGGGCGGGCACTGTGCAGTCACCTCTGACCCCACGTCCTCTGTGCAGTGTGTCGCCGGCTACCATGGGGTCAACTGCTCTCTGGAAATCAACGAATGCCTGTCCCAGCCATGCCAGAATGGGGGTACCTGTATCGACCTTGTCAGCACCTACAAGTGCTCCTGCCCTAGGGGCACTCAAGGTGAGCAGAGGGCCAGGATGCAGGGCTCGACCTGTCAGGTTCACACAGGTTGGGGGTGGGACCAGGGTAGGGGGAGCTGGCTGGGGCCACGTAGAGTAAAGGACCAGAGCTGGGCCAGGAAGCTGTCTCGAGGGCAAGCAGGGTGTCAGGGTGAGGGCGGGGAGCAGGCCTAGGGCCGGGTACCAGGCAGCTGGCGGCAGGGGTCTCTAGAGCTAGGTAAGGTTTCCTTTCACCATGGGAGTGGGGAGACCATGAAGCTGAATGGAGAGGCCCATCAGCACCCTTTCTTTCCTGAGTGCACCCCTGGCCTGGGCCAGCCCTGGGGTCGCGGGGACTCCTGCCCTTGGCCCTGACGTCTTGCTCCCTCAGGTGTGCACTGCGAGGTGAACGTGGATGATTGCTCCCCGCCTATGGACCCCAACACCCGGAGCCCCCGCTGCTTCAACAATGGCACCTGTGTGGACCAGGTGGGCGGCTACAGCTGCGTCTGTCCGGCAGGCTTCGTGGGCGAGCGCTGTGAGGGTGACGTCAACGAGTGCTTGTCCAACCCCTGCGATGCCCGTGGCACCCAGAACTGTGTGCAGCGGGTCAACGCCTTCCACTGCGAGTGCCGGCCTGGCTACACCGGTGGGTGCCTGGCTGGGGTGGGAGGGGTGGGCAAGCGGGCGGCCCCGAGTGGCCCCTCACACCCACTCCCCGCCAGGCCGCCGCTGTGAGTCGGTCATCAACGGCTGTCAGAGCCAACCGTGCCGGAACGGGGGCACATGCGCCGTGGCCGCCAACACTGCCCGTGGCTTCATCTGTAAATGCCCTGCGGTAGGTGCCCAGTCCCCACACTGATTGCTGCCCAGGGGTGGCCCATGGGGGCAGAGCCTGACCTGTGACCTCACAAGCTGGCAGCGTTTCCACCCAGATGTCCTGGGTCCCTTCACGGATCTGTTGCTAGAGGGAGCCTGGCACCCCAGAGCCATCCTGACCTCTGCCTTCCCCCCAGGGCTTCGAGGGCGCCACCTGTGAGAATGACGCCCGCACATGTGGCAGCCTGCGCTGCCTCAACGGGGGCACCTGCCTGTCCGGCCCGCGCAGCCCCACCTGCCTGTGCCTGGGCGCCTTTACCGGCCCCGAGTGCCAGTTCCCAGCCAGCAGCCCCTGCGTGAGCCTCAGACCCTGCTACAACCAGGGCACCTGCGAACCCACCTCGGAGAGCCCCTTCTACCGCTGCCAGTGCCCCCCCAAGTTCAATGGGCTCAACTGCCACATTCTGGACTACAGCTTCGGGGGTGGCGTGGGGCGTGACGTCCCACTCACGCAGATCGAGGAAGTCTGCGAGAAGCCCGAGTGCCACGCGGACGCCGGCAACAAGCTTTGCAACGTCAACTGTAACAACCACGCCTGCGGCTGGGACGGCGGCGACTGCTCCCTCAACTTCGACGACCCCTGGAAGAACTGCTCCCGCTCGCTGCAGTGCTGGGAGTACTTCAGCAACGGCCGCTGCGACGCCCAGTGCAACTCGGCCGGCTGCCTCTTCGACGGCTTCGACTGCCAGGGCGGCGGGGGCCAGTGCAAGTGAGCACAGGGACATGTCAGGGGGGTCAGGGGGCCAGTGCAAGTGTGCACGGGGGGATATGTCAGGGGGGCCAGGGGACCAGTGCAAGTGAGCACAGGGGGCATGTCAGGGGGGTCGGGGGACCAGTGCAAGTGAGCACAGGGACATGTCAGGGGCCAGGAGGCCAGTGCAGGTGGACACAGGGGGACATGTCAGGGGACAGTTGAAGTGAGCACGGGGGATAGAGTGGTCATGTAAGGTGGGACGGGCCAGTGGCAGTGAACACAGGGTGCTGATACCAGTGAGCATGGGTGTGACGTGTGTGGAGGGTGGCGTAGGGAAGGCACGTGGATTTGAAGAGTCGAAGGCAGGGGTGTAGGACAGGGCAGTTCGAGAGAGTGGGTTAGGGGGAGGAGGGAGGGGACAAAAATGGCCAGTGCAAGTGAGTATGGGGGGTCAGGAGGCGGACTGTGCAGAGGGCATGGGAAGGTTGCAATGGAGTGGGGGTGCTCCAGAGTACAGTGTCAGGGGGCAGGGAGTGGGGGCGGGGCGCTCAGGAGAACAGTATCGGGTGGGGGGCAGGGCTCTAGACAGGAGGGGGAGGCTGCATTCGGTTCTGCAGGGATCAGGGCAGGGGTTCCCGGAAGGACACAGGCAGAGGCACTCGGGACTCAGAGCTGGGCGCTGACCACACCTTCCCCACAGCCCGCTGTACGACCAGTACTGCAGGGACCACTTCAGCGACGGGCACTGTGACCAGGGCTGCAACAACGCTGAGTGTGAGTGGGACGGGCTGGACTGTGCAGACCGAGTGCCTGAGCGGCTGGCGGCCGGCACGTTGGTGGTGGTGGTGCTGATGGCGCCAGAGCAGCTGCGTAACAACTCCTTCCACTTCCTGCGTGAGCTGAGTCGCCTGCTGCACACCAACGTGGTCTTCAAGAGGGATGCACAGGGCCAGCCCATGATCTTCCCCTACTACGGCCGCGAGGAGGAACTCCACAAGCACCCCATCAGGCGGTCGGCCGACGGCTGGACCTCCGAGGGCTGGGCCGCCACGCCTCGCGCCCTCCTCGGCCAGGTGCAGGCCGCGCTGCTGCCTGGAGCTGGGGGCGGACGCCGGCGCAGGGAGCTGGACCCCATGGACATCCGAGGGTGAGTGGTCTCTGTTAGCATAAAAGAGGCTCAGGTTCTAGCAGGACCCCTTGCGGGTGAAGGCAGCAGGACTCCAAACTCGGTCTCTGGCCACAAGGCCACTGCCCTCCTTAATGCGCATTTCATTCAGTGGTGTTTGAGACTACCAGGGCTTCCAGCCCGCCAGGATTGTCCATACACCGTTGGTGAGCACACGGGGGCACAGAGCCGAAAGCCCAGGGGGTGATGTGGCAGGGCTGAGGCTTGGTGTCCACAGCTAGGCTGGGCACAGTTCCCCAGAGAGGCCCTGAGGCTCCTGGCCTCTGTCCTTCCATGGTGAGAGAGAGGGACGTGGAGGGAGGTACGTCTGTGCCAAGAATGTGAGTGCCCAGGATCAGGGCACTGCCGCTCCCAGGGCCTCCACCCAGTCCTCGTCCCTGACCCCACGATGCTCTGACATCAGGAACGCCCCTCACCCCTGCATTGTTGGGGGTCCCAGGAAGGACGCTGACCGACACCCTCCCCCAGGTCCATCGTGTACCTGGAGATTGACAACCGCCAGTGCGTCCAGTCCTCCTCCCAGTGTTTTCAGAGCACCACAGATGTTGCCGCCTTCCTAGGGGCGCTGGCCTCGCTGGGCAATCTCAACATCCCCTACAAGATCGAGGCTGTACAGAGTGAGTGCACCCCGCACCCCGCCTTCAGGCTGTGCTCCCCATCACGAGCACGCCAGCAGGGTCCCACCTCCTGCTCCCCAAGTGCCACCACTGTCACGTCGTCACCACCTGGGTGCTGTGTACCCCTGCTTCCAGCACCCCCACAGGACGTATGTCCACTTCCAAGTGGAGTCCGGCCCCAGCCCCTCTCCCTGGCTTCTCTGGGCCGGGTAGCATTTCAAAATCATTATGGGTTTTTTTAGCAAGAGAGCAGGAGTGGGAAGAATTGATCGGTGTCATGTGAAGTGTTGAAGTTTGTATCTAGAAAATCCCTCTAAATCCTTTGTCTTAACAGCTCGATACGAGCGCAGCGATTTGAAGTTTGGTAATCCCTCTCGCTGCGAACAGGAGGGAGAGCGGGTCTCCAGATAGACCGGGCCTGCAGGAGAGAATTTAGCGAGAGTTTGCAATTCTGATGAAGGCGCAGAAAATGACCTTATTTTGGGGGGCGGGACGGGAGAGCGGCCAGGCGCCCGGCACAGGCAGTCTGCGCCCGGCCGCGGAGCCGGAGCCTGATGCCCGGGCGGCCGGCTGTGCCCGCAGGTGAGAGCGTGGAGCCGCCGGCCCCGGCCCCGCTGCACTTCATGTACGTGGCCGTGGCTGCCTTCCTGTTGCTGGTCTTCGTGGGATGCGGGGTCCTCTTCTCCCGCAAGCGGCGGCGGCAGCACGGCCAGCTCTGGTTCCCTGAGGGCTTCAAGGTGTCAGAGGCCAGCAAGAAGAAGCGGCGGGAGCCCCTCGGGGAGGACTCCGTGGGCCTCAAGTAAGTGGGGTGGGGTCCCCAGACCGCAAGGCTGACCCTGGGACCTGCTCTTACCTTGGCCAGGGTATCAGAGCACCCCACCCAGGCCTGACCCCCACACAGCATGTTCTGGGGGACCCAGTTACCCTCTGTCAGGGCCTGAGCCCACAAAGCATGCTTTTTGGGGGACCCATTCAGCAGCCATGGGACTGCTCCTCTGACCCCAGCACTCACCCAGCATGCTTTGGGCGTAGCTGTTCCCCGTCCCTACCCTCTGGTCAGAGCCAAGACCCCAGACCCAGAGGTGCCCAGTGTTCTTAGCAGCCACTCAGTCCTGTCCCCATCCTTGCCACAGGCCCCTGAAGAATGCTTCGGATGGCGCCCTCATGGACGACAACCAGAACGAGTGGGGGGACGAGGACCTGGACACCAAGAAGTTCCGGGTATGTTTAATGGCTCGAGGTGGCCTGCAGTTCCCCACAGCTCCCCGAGGCTGCCCACAGCACCCCGTGGCTCCCCACTGCTGCATGTCTCCCACAGCTCTACACAGCACCCACAACACCCGTAGCACCTGGGTGACCAGGCCCAGCTAACGTGGCTCCCTGCCCCATAGTTCGAGGAGCAGGTGGTCCTGCCCGACCTGGATGACCAGACGGACCACCGGCAGTGGACCCAGCAGCACCTGGACGCTGCTGACCTGCGCGTGTCTGCCATGGCCCCCACGCCACCCCAGGGTGAAGTAGATGCTGACTGCATGGATGTCAACGTCCGAGGGCCCGGTGAGCGTCGTCCCTCAGTGTGTTCATTGTCCAGCGTTCCACCCTCTGCACCCATCTCCTGCCCATCTGCCTATCCGCCCATTGGTACACCTGCCACCCATCTATCTGCTTGCCGAATTCACCTACCACTCATCCACCTGCCCACCTGTCTAGCTGTCTGCCTGTCCGTCCACACACCACGCTCGACCCATCCACCAGTGCCCACCCTCAGTGCCCTTCCCTGACCCCGTGGCTGGCCTTAAACCCCCACTGGAAGCTGAGCATTTTGAGGGGACTGAGATGCTGCTTTGGGCATGTCCCATTCCAGATGGACATCTCTCTCCCTGTGGCCTCCAGCTGGTGCTGCCGTGACCTGTCTGCCCTCCGTGTCCTGGCTGTACTGTGTCCTTAGACACAATGCCCGTTATGTTGCTGCCTCCAGGCTGTGGGGACTGTCAGGAAGCAAAGCCACGGGGTCCACACAGCGTGGCCGCAGGGGCCTCACACCCTGGGGCAGTGTCCACTCGGGCGAGCGTCGCCGTCCCCCTGAGCTGCCCATCTCTGTCCCTCCTGCAGATGGCTTCACCCCGCTCATGATCGCCTCCTGCAGCGGAGGGGGCCTGGAAACCGGCACCAGTGAGGAGGAGGAGGACGCTCCAGCGGTCATCTCGGACTTCATCTACCAGGGTGCCAGTCTGCACAACCAGACCGACCGCACCGGTGAGACCGCCCTGCACCTGGCTGCCCGCTACTCACGTTCCGACGCTGCCAAGCGCCTGCTGGAGGCCAGTGCAGATGCCAACATCCAGGACAACATGGGGCGGACCCCACTGCATGCAGCTGTGTCCGCCGATGCCCAGGGCGTCTTCCAGGTGGGTCCACGCGCTCTCCGGGAAGGGTGGTGGGGCTGTCTCGGTACGTGGAGGTCTGGAGGGGCAAACAGCCGTCACGAAGCTCAGGGGATGCTGCCTAGCTCAGGTCTCGGCCGGGTCTGTCTACTCAAGCCTCTCCCCTGACCTGGAGTTTCTGCAGCCCTTTACTGCTTACAAACTCACCTGCCTCTGTCGTCAGTGGCCTCACTTCTGGCGTCTGTCTGTCCTTCTCCTGGAGGCTTTCTCAGGAAGGGTGAGGGTCAGGGTCCACACTGCCCCCAGCTAATGTAACAGAAGCAAACAAAAATCACATTTGCAGGGGTTAGGACTGCCTTGTAACTTGTGGGGGACTCTGACACCCCTAAGGGCCCCAGTGGTATAGTTACATGTCGGTGTGTTAACTGAAGGGTCAGCAGTTCTAATCCACCAGCTGCCCCGTGGACAGAGTCAACAGTCTTCCCTGCAAAGATTTACAGCCTCAGAAACTCGACGATCACTGTGACCCACCGACTCCAAATCCAGGAGCAGTGGGTCTGCATTTTGGGCAAAGGCATTTCAGTGGCACTGTGGTTAAGGCATTCAGCTGCTAATCAAGAAGTTGGTGGTTCCATTCCACCAGCTGCCCCACGGGAGAAAGACAGGCATTCTCCCATCGACACTCGCAGCCCTGGAGCCTGACTGCTGTGGGTTAAACCCATGGCAGACGGTTTGGGCTTTTGGGGAACACTCACCGCCTCGCCAATGTTTTCTCATGGCAGCAGGGAGTTGTGGGACTGCAGAGAGGCCGCCAACCCCACCCCTGAGGGCCTGGGGCTCAGGAATAACTCCTGGGGCTGGTCCAGTGGCCTTGGCTCCCCCACCCCCCCACCCCTACCCCTGCAGCAGCGGCCACGGCCGGAGGCAATGCCGGAGGCTGGAGAGGAAGGCTTGAGTCAGCCTGCCCACCTGGGGCCTGGCTTGTGGGAGCATGAGCTGGAGGAGGGCGGAGGGGTTTGCATGCAGGTCTCTGGGGGCTCCCGGCAGAGAAAGGCTGTTTTCTAGCCGCCGGCCTGCCACCAATACCCAGGCCCAGGCCACGCCTGCCCCCCACCCACCCAGAGCCTTCTGCACAGAAGTGCATGACAGAGGCCCTGCAGCCTTTCCAAGTCAGAGATGTTCACTGCAATGAGGTCAGATAAGCTGAGGAAGGGGTTTCAGGTGTGGCCTGAGGCACCTGGCCACCTCTGCCTGCTGGGCAATGAGGGAGGCAGCACCCTGGCTATCCACGCTGCCAGCCAGTGTGACCAGTCTCAATCAGCAACTCAGGATCCTGGGCTGCTGTGTGTTTTGGTATGCCAAGGGGTCATGGCTTCAGGCAACAGTCCAGCTTGGCCCCGTCAGACCCTGCCTCTGACCCCTGCTGTGTGCCCCCAGAGGGACCTGTCTCTGTTACGCTGCAGGGAATGGTGACTAGGATCGGTGGCTGCTGCTGTCCTCACGGACACTGTCTGGACCCCCCCTTGCAGGGGTGAGTATTCGGCGTGGGGACCTCACTCACGCCTGACACCATCTCTTGCTGCTGTCCAGATCCTGATCCGGAACCGGGCCACAGACCTGGACGCCCGCATGCATGATGGGACCACGCCTCTGATCCTGGCTGCCCGCCTGGCTGTGGAGGGCATGCTGGAGGACCTCATCAACTCTCACGCCGACGTCAATGCCGCCGATGACCTGGGTGAGCAGGAAGCACGAGCTCTGACCAGGATATGACCAGGCCCTTGACCAGCGCTGTGGCTGGGATGCTTTGGGAGGGGAGGAGGCCACCATGGATGGCACCGGGAGTGGGCACAGTGGTAGGCGTGGCAGGGGCACTGGGGCCTGCAGCTGCTCCATCAACTGCCTTTGCTCTGGCCTGCAGGCAAGTCAGCCCTGCACTGGGCCGCTGCCGTAAACAACGTGGACGCTGCCGTTGTCCTCCTCAAGAACGGGGCCAACAAAGACATGCAGAACAACAAGGTGAGCTGGGGCCGGGGGCTCGGTGGGCCAGGGGTGGGGGCGCG